AGAGGCAAACCACCTGCAGTGTGGCTGGATGGACATGGCATGTTCCTATAGATGATAAACAGAATGTAGGCCTGGCTGTCCTTGAACCAAAAGCAACTTCTACTCCAGGGCAAGTCATGCTTGGGATGAAGGCTACTGAAAACTGAGCTTTTGAAGACTGGGTAGACATTTTCTCTGTGAGAGTGTCCCACATCTTTGTCCAGCAGGGACATGGCATGGTCACCATTCCCTTCGTGTACTGAAAGACTGAGTATCACAGAATGGCAGGGGTAGGGAATGACCTCTGGAGATCATCTAGACCAAGAATGCTATACATCATCAGCAAAACTATCCTGTATCTACCTCTAATTTGTGAAGCAAATTAATTTTCAGATCAAATAGTAGTTCAGTTATGAAGTTTGTAGAGTTGGTTATTTATTACAGTCTAGTAAGCACAGTACTTAATACAACTAATACAGACAGAAAAATTTATAAGAGACATTCTTGGAATTCTCTGAAATTGGAAAAGGAATTAAAGGAAAGGTTCAGTAGCTGACTGATGCACAATTTTCTAGCTGGGAGCAAGGTAATTATCTGATGGCATACAGGAAGAGAGAAGGAAAGAGACTGTAAGAGAAAGTGAATATATAGTCTTTCATCTAGACATCATAATGCTTTTTTTCCAAGAAAAAAAATCTAATAATTGCACCAATAATTGAAACTGAATTTCTCACACTACTGAAAAGACATACAGAAAGATTGGACTCCACTCTACGTTTGAGGGTGATGTACTCATGAAGCTGCAGTCACATTACTGCTCTCCAAATGGCTGCCATCTCCTGCTCTCAGCAGAGATTAAGCTAATTGTACCTTACCATGATCCCTATTTTCAAAAAGGCTATTTCTTCTGGTTGTTTCCATGGAATGGAAATCAAGCTGATCCTGAGGTGATGATGTCCCCTAACGTTTTCAGAAATTGTGATGGACCCAGTCTCAAGGACAAGAGAGAGAAATTTCATCCTAAGTCCCCAGAGACATAATAGCTACCTTGAAAAACTAAAGGACAGAGAAATTAAAATTATCAGGAATACAAGGTGTTACAGATCTTTAATTTTAGAGAAAAAGAGTAAGTTTTACACTTAAAGCATTCCGACTGCAATACAGTTAAGCATAAAATCCCTACTAGACATTTCTAAACATGTTCTCTTACATTGTTTATTAAAATATTTATATGACTAGAATCTGTAATTTGAGTTACACAGCTATCAGCACCATCACTTTTATGATTGAATGCAATGGAGAAATCCAGATCCAAAATGACAGTAGTAATAATAATAATAATAATGATGTACAAAGTAGCATCTCATAGTTAACACACTTCAGAATGAGAATTTTCTACAGACAGCCCACTGGAGATAATAAGCATCCAGACTCATCTCTGAAACAATGTATTTAGCAGTAGGTGGATAGAATGGGGGTAAAAGCCAAGAAAAACAGAATTTTGTGGTAGCAGTTAAGTTCTGAACAATATCTTGACTCATTTTTCATGTACCTGAGTCAGCAGCACTGCAATTGCTTATTTAGAAAAAAAAAAAAAAACAAAAACCAAAAAACACCACCAAAAAAACCCTCCGTGCTCTAACTTTTCTCTAAAGTGGAGACAGCATTTACAGTGAGCATAATCTAATTGATGGTTATGAAACGATGAGACCGTTTAGACAGATGTCTGATTCTCCACGGAGGTTTCTTCTCCAGGAGGAAGGAGAAAGGCCTGTAGCCTGAACTGTCTTGTCTGAATTTATGGTGGCAGAACTGTCCATCTGGATTAGTGTCACCTGCCCTTTTAGAAAAATATCAGTGCCTGTAAGGCTTTCAAAGATAAATTATCTATGTGAAGGGAAGATTCCATGTTGACCTACTGATATTTTTTTTTCTATTAAGATAAACTCAAATGATGGTTTTCTCCAAAAAGGCAATTATATTTATGACTTCTTTCAAGCTACTACAAATCTGAAAGCACTAAATGTTCCTATGTTTAATACGTAACAGATTGCCCCTAAAAGTATAAGATTATTCTAAAAGAATCTAACTTAAAAAGAACTGACAAGGCAAATATGTTATTATTGCAGCTGCAATACTTGGGCAGAATCACTGAAGCTGTCTTGAACCAGAGCTGGAGAAGTGGAACTCAGTGAAGTGGAGCAGTTTGCAAACAGATCTGCCCATTGCAGAAGTGTTGCAAAGCTGAAATAACACAGCAAATACTCTTCAGTAAAAAAGACTCCACCATCTGTAATTAAATAATACAGCCAAAATTCTTTTCATAGAAGAAGATCCTACCAACAGATCCAGTGCTGAGGATGGTGTTATGAACATCCTGTAAACTGAGAGAGTTGGGGCTGTTCAGTCTGGAGAAGAGAAGGCTCCGAGGGGACCTTATTGTGGCCTTCCAGTATCTTAGGGAGGCCTACAAGAAAGCTGGGGAGGGACTTTTTAGGATCTCAAGTAACAACAGAACTAGAGGGAATGGGGCAAAGCTGGAAGTGGGCAGATTCAGGCTGGATGTGAGGAAGAAGTTCTTCCCCATGAGAGTGGTGAGACCCTGGAATGGGTTGCCCAGGGTGGTGGTTGAGGCCCCATCCCTGGGGGTCTTTAAGGCCAGGCTGGATGAGGCTCTGGGCAGCCTGATCTAGTGGGAGGTGTCCCTGCTCATGGCAGAGGGGTTGGAACTGGGTGATCCTTGTGGTCCCTTCCAACCCTGACAGATTCTGATCTGTTTGGCAGAGGACTTTGGAGCCCTGGTGGCTCGGTGGTTGGACTTGATGATCTTGGAGGTCCCTTCCAAACTAAATGATTCTATGATTCTATGATTCTAAAACCACTAGCTCACAACTTCAGGCCAGTAACACCATGTACCACATGCACACTCAGACACTTGCACGTAACAGCTGTATGTCACTTTATGTGCTGTTTCGTTCCCTATGCAAATGCAATAAAATAAATTTATTAGCAGTAAAATGACAGGAGTTTCATCCTTTATGGAAGGATGAAGGGGTAAGAGTGTATAACACTGACTGTAACGTGCTACTTCCTTCTCCTAGGAGAGACACATACCTAAGCTACTCTAGACAAGGAATGTCAAATGAAACGTCTGTCCATTCTTGGTCATGCAGGAAAGACCATCAGCTTCTGTTGAGGAGTAATGTGATTATCAACCATAGTGGGAATATAAACCATAAGAGATTAGCAGAAGCTCTTCCTGCTCTGTTTGACTAGTTACTCTCCATTTCTACAGAGATAAAAGAACAAAGCATCTCCTAACACAGGATTTTTGAAGGACCAGAGGAAAAAAAAAATAAATGAGAGGAACAAAATCTATTAATTACAGATTTTCATCAGCCCTGGATTAGAGGCCCCATCTTCTTTGAAGGTTCTAATTTACTGAAAGCAATAAGTACTAGTGCTACAAATACGAAGAATGTAAAAGTGGGTTAAAATGACATTATCGTTCTCCAAGTAACACTCCTAACCACAGAACAGCTAATGATCTTTCATAATTCAGATCTTCACATATTGTCTTCCCATGGCACTCAGTGAAACAGAGGAGGGTAAATTAACTTAAGCTTTTATCACCTCCTGTGAAAATAACGTGCTTAAAAACTTGTGGATAAAAGAATGCAAAACAGAACCATAAATCCATGTTCTGATTTTTAAGCATCCTAACTTTCAAAAATTACGTTTCTGCAATTTTTTCATTTACAAAAGTTTGTAAAAAGCATTTGAAAATCATAAAAATAATTCAACAGGGTGAGCTGGTTATTTCAACAGCAGATATTTATACCTGAAAACTCAGTATTTCCAATTATGAGACAGCCTACAGTACATGAGCAGTCATCACTCATGCTGTACTTCTCCAAAGAATAAACTGAAGAAACCCAATATAATGTCATTTCATGTCTACAGCAGCTGACACATCCTACAAAATCTGGGGTATATACTGAGAGTAAGCAGAAATCCTTTGTTTAGCTTTCAGATGTAGAAGTGAAGTGATACAAGTACTGATATATAGTTTTGACTTTGTGTTGAAGTACCAGGATACATAAATTGAAAGAAATGGGGGTTTATTTAAACTGATTCACATTGTTGGCTGACTTTCATTCTTATGCTGAAAGGAAATATAAATCTAATTTATGCCCATAATAATGAGATAATAACAAGTTGAATTATTCTACAGGCATCAGTCTTGTATACTTTCTTGTTTTGAGATTCAGATTACAAAAATTAAAAATCCAATTTAAAAATAAAAAAATCAAGCCATGCCTTCAGATGTGATTGCTGTTACTCCTGCTTATAAATAGCTATTTATATCAAGCAAAATACAGCCAATAGCCATCTACATTTTAGAACAAAACAGGCTGTTTCCCTTGTGGGATTTTGAGGTAAGAATGTTGGTAGGGTTAAAGTTCTCACTCAAAAACAGAAAGAAAGAAAACACCTGAGAAGTGAAAGACTAAATGCCAATTTTATCAGTGCCCTTTAACATGCAGGCTGAAGGAAGCAGCATTTATAAGCAGTAGGTAAGGAAAGTCTTGAGAAGTTGCCTGCAGATTTGATATTTGACAAATAAATCAGAGATTATTATTGCTCTATTATTAACATTTTTGCATAATTATTCACAATAAGCTGGAGAGATTGCTGGAGTCATAAAAGTCTTAAAATGGAAAAAGAATTAATATGAGCAATCAATCAGCTATCACTCTTGCTACTCAATCAGCCCGAACTTGATAGAAAGAAGACATGACTTCAATATAACCACTATTTTACCCTTCCTAACAATCTGAACAGTAACTTCTATGTGAAATTGCACTCGGTGATCTAGCTCACCTCTAAAGGTCTGAAAAAACACATTCATGGAACTGTAGCATAGTTCTGCCAAAAATCTACTTTCTCATCTATACACTTTATGTATTTAAAGACACCCGAGTACCCCACGTAGAGTGGCACAAGAAAATGGATCTTACCACTGCAGCTGGGACTTGAGGCATTTTTGCAGCTGGGGTTCCTGGGCGTGGGTAAAATTGATTAATAAACAAGCTTGGAAACTTGTACTGTTCTACAAGTTTCATTGTTTCTTGAAAATCTTCATCTGTCTCTCCTGGAAAACCACAGATGATATCTGTAGCAATTGTTATTCCAGGCACTCTGTAAAGAAAATAGAAAGGAACACTGAACTAAGGACATGCAAGTCTTGCTCCCTTAAAAGCTACTGTACATAGACTTACAACTCTTCAACTGGATCTACAGAAGTTGAGACCTAAAATAATATTTGGGAAACAAACAAAAAGAATATTATTGCTTGGTAATGAAAAAGTGCACTTGGTTCTCAGCTGAGAGTATGTGGAATTGAAGAAAGATGTAACAGCAAAAATTGAACTTTATATATATATAAGATTGTGCCAAAAAGTGAAAACATCTGGACTCAATTCCTCCTTCATTCACAATTACATATTACAGAATCTTAGAATCATTAAGTTTGGTAAAGACCTCTAAGATCATGAAATCCAACCACGATCCCAATACAACCATGACCAATAAACCATGTCCTGAAGTACCACGTCCACATGTTTTCTGGGCACTTCCAGGGATGGGGACTCCACCACCTCCCTGGGCAGCCTGTTCCAATGCCTCACCACTCTTTCAGTAAAGAAATTCTTCCTAACATCAAGTCTAAACCTCCCCTGGCATAACTTAAGCCCATTTCCTCTCATCCTGTTGCTTGTCACTTGGAAGAAGAGACCAACCCCACCTCACTACAACCTCCTTTCAAGTAGTTGAAGAAAGCAATAATGTCTTCTCTCAGCCTCCTCTTCTCCAGGCTACACGATCAGCAGAGCTTGTAAAGGTCTTGAATTCTGATTGCTTAACCCACAAAACTTACAACTTCTGATACTTAGCCACTAGAATTTCTAAACTATTTAATGTTTGATAATGCTGCTATCAGAGTAGAACAGGAGATCCAAAAGAGGGGCCTGGCGTGCCATCCAACCTCACAGTTCTGCACAAATCTGGCAGGGTCACCATTTCCCAGCTTTCCCCTGGGACTGCACAGGCAGACCCCTCACACGCAGCAGCTGCAGGGAGCACCCTGAGCAGAGGCAGCCCACGGCCACAGCACTGGTGCAGCAGGATGCACAAAGGGGTGGGACAAGGGGGCCTCCATTGAAACTGTGCCACAGTAACAGTCTTGGACACGGTGGTAACATGTCATTGAGCGTCCTTCCCAGTAGATGTTGGGAGTAGCCACCCCTGCTAGGGTTGAGACTTGCACCCAGACTGAGTTTCAGATAGTGGATTCAGGCCTCCAAGACCTGGGCTGCAGTGAGTGCCTGGGGGCTCTCTCTGATGCCAGGAGAGATGGCCTTCTGTCCTGCAGGAGCTCTACTAAAAGCTGTGCCTGCAAGTGGAGGAGTTATGGGAGGCAGTGAGAGGCTGTGCAACGTCGGAGAAGGTGAAAAGGAGATAGACAGGATCTTCTCTGCAACTCAACAGCTTCAAGAGCTTTTCAGCCCTCATCCGCAGAAGACAAGCAGGTAGTGTCAACCCCTACTATCAAGGCAAGCAAAACCTTTGGAAGAGGAGAAGGATGGAAGCTGGTGACTCTTGACACCAAAGGAAGGATCTCACCCCACCTAAGGGCTTACAACTTGTAAAATAGGTTAGTCTCCCTCAAAGTCAAGAAGCCAGATGTGCCAACAAGCACAGTATCTGATCCACCTAACTGATGCAAGACTACCAGGAAGAAGCAGCAAGTCATTGTAATGGTTGACTAGCTGATGTGGGGGACACAGGCACCCATCTGTTGACCCAACCAACAATCTAGAGAGGTTTGCTGTCTGCCAGGGGATGTTGCAGGGCTCATCTGGCCCTCTGACTACTACTCCCTGCTGTTATTTCATGTGGGCACAAACGATACTGTGAGAAGAAACCTGGACAGAGTGAGAGGCGATGCCAGAGCTCTGGGAGGCAGCAGCCAAGGGCATGGGGGCTCAGGTGGTGTGGTATCAGGAAACACTCTGTTCCTGAGGGTCACTGAGCACTGGCACACATTGCCCAGGGCAGCTGTGGAATCTTCCTCCTTGAAGATACAAAAAAGTTGTCTGGACACAGCCCCACATCATTGCCTTTAGGTGGCCCTGCTTGAGCAAGGGAGGGTTGGTCAAAATGACCTGCAGAGTTCCATTAACTTCAACCCCCCTGTGATTCTGTAACACAGCCCAGAAAAGTGAGTCCTACAACCAAGAGATTACAGCATAATATCTGCAGAGCACTCTATGGGACCCAGGAGACATCAGCTCACTTTTCCAAATCTGACACTAGCCAGCTGGACGAGCACTGCCCTGTGAGAAACTGAGGTCACAGCACTGTTCTGTGTTCTGCCTGCTCGTGTAAGTGTGAGCAATGACAAACCTCTTCTGCAAAGAGACAGAAATGGAAGTGCTCAGAAGTGCTCAGTGCTCCTTGCTGACACAGATCAGGCTGCTGCTACAACGCAGAGTTGATTCTACACTACCAGCAACAATGAGGAACTGGAGAAAATACTGTTTAGGAGGAAAAGTGAGTCTCCTATAAAGATATGATATCTGACTTAAAGCTGTCCCTGTTCCAAGTGGTGGGAATAGATGAGATGATTCTAAATGTCCTTTTAAAGCTAAATAATTCTACAGTTCTTAAGTAACCTACAGGCAAGGGAACAGCTGAGGCAGATTCTTTTAGGGATGAATGGCATAAAAACCACTGCCACAAGAAAAGCTCACACCTGAGCTTAAGAAGGGGTCCCCAAGAGTGTCTCCATCATAAAGAAATGGCTGGAAGGCTTCTCTTCCCCTCATCAAGGTAAGAGACAGCAGAACTGTAAATACAAATGCATATAATCCAAATGACATTTATGAAGCCTTTGACTGGCCAAAGAGAACTATCAGACAGTACATCATCAAAAAAAAAATAATGCTGTGGTTACCGTGGGTGAAAAATCCTGGGTTTGAATAACTCTAAGAAAAACGTCCTGCAACAAGGAGCTCTACTGGAAGACGAGTATCTGCTGACAAAAGACCCAAGAAAGGGGAGGCAGAGAATATTATTAAGGACTCGGTCCAAATATCCTAAGCGGGAAACACAAGCTGGATATTGCACAGAACAGCAAAAATCCCCAGAGCTGTTGGCTAAACAGCCTCAATTACCATCGCTTACTTAAAACTGACAAACTGCAAGATATGAAGTTCTGCTTGATAACAAATAACTAAATTCGTTAGCTTTAGGGACTGAGAGAACAGAGGAGCACTCGACTCTGTACCATGATTTTGCTCACATCACAAATACCTTGTGCAGCAATAGTAACCTTATGGAAAGTATGAAAAGTACATTATAAATCAATATCACGTAATATCAGCTGCCATTTCTCAAAACATGAATAGAACATTCATCACGTTTGACAAAACCATGATAATGAAGTTATTTTAACCATTTTAATGACACTACTGGCAACAGTCAAAGCATTTATTACCAATGGTGGTAGTAATACCATCCTTTATAAAGGTTTGGTCGTTTCTATGGCAACATGAATTATAAGGTCCAATCAAGCCAGATACAATATAATATGCTCTTTTTCTCCATAACACCAGTTGTCATTCAGTTAAAAGGAAATTACATATTTTAAAAATTCATAAACTCTACAAATGTCTGAACTCCATTTGGTGATAAGGTGTTAATTATCTTAGTAATTAGATTTCTTCTTGGATGGAATTATTACACACAAAGAAAAGCCAGGGTATGAAAAGAGAATAAGGACCACAGTGTATTCAGCAACAGCAATTCATTACAGTTCAACCCAGTATGACTGCTTAAAATATGACATTGCACAGTACATTTTTATACCACTGTTGATTATATTGTTTAAAAAATAATTTTAAAGGGGGAGAAAAGCATGAGATTTCACTAAGAATAAAACTCAATTATTGACAAAAATCAAGCTCTTAGCCCTTCTCAGAGCACTGATGAACAAAAATAAGTACAATTCGTTCCAGATGCAAAACACCATTTCTTAATAAAAAAGAGAAGAAAAAGATATAATTGTGGAACAATATAAAACACATATACACTTGAAAATTAAAGCAGCCTTTGCTCTGACTCTCTGAAAGAAAGCAGCACAAAATTCTTTATTGTGTAGATTCAGATGAAGTTTAAATATTTTTCCCAGCTACGAAATACAATGCAAAATAACACAAGAACAATTTCTTGTGCATCAGCCAATATTAAAATGTTTTTTTTTTTTTTTTAAATGAAACGCAGTTTATCTATTCTGAAGTAAACAAAGGAAAAGCTGCTGAACAGCCCCAGTAAGCATTTTGTAACATTTATTACACTAATGCATTTACGGTAAGTCTACAAATCCAATGGCAGCAAATGTTTTCTAGGGTCAGTAGAGAAGCTCCAACAACACAGCGTTCAGTGAACCAAGAAGACACAGTGGTCCTTATGGAAGAGAAAATGGTTTTAAAAAAGCAGAAAGTTGTTTCAAACGTAGAGGCCTGGATGCTCCTTCTGGCCTAGCAAATGGAGGTGGCTGGTCTGTTTTCATAGACATCTGAGCATAAAATGACTTGAATCTTGCCAGCCATTTTAAAGCCTTGTAATGCTGACGAATGCCTAGAAAGACTGTGTGGAATAATTTTTTCTGGTGAACATAAATCTTGCAAGATTTTTTCTCTGAAGACACACTATTGTCTCCATTTACTCAACTATAAGATAATATAGCCCAAATACTTTTAAGCTTTCTTAACATTCTCTCCTTTATCTCTCTACATAAATAAATCCCTTCCATCTACTCAAGCAGGTTTACAGCTGTCATCCTGAACAAGACCACCAACACAATCACCATCACCTTATGTAGTTCTAACCATCCAAAAAGAAGCAACTACTTCCACTTACACCAAAGAAGTGTCCATTTCAGTGTGATGCTGTAATGACCAGCACATCTAGAAAAGGATCGTGAACAAGTGCTGAGAGGACAAATACTCAAAACCTCACAGGAAGGAGGAGCAAATGTGTTTGAAAGGACAAAGAAGAAATACAGAAGAAATAAAATGAACCAAATGAGCTTCTTGGGTCAGAGAAAAAAAGTGTTCCACCTCCCAGAGGAGTGGCTG